GTACAATAAAAACATTTATTCAATTGGATATCTGATTGAAAATTTTCAAATTATTGTATTTTCGAATCAAGCTTTCGAAAATTGTCATTAGAGATTCAATGAACACTATAGCTACTCATATCTAACATTTGTAAAATGATAAAATATTTCAAGAACAAGTTTGGATGTGTCACACTTACATCCTATGTCATACGATTTGAATGTTCCTGAAGAAAGATCGATTTTTGAAAGAAAGCTGAGCTCAAGTCAGCCTGTGTTTTACAAAAAATGTCTGAGCGATATCTCATCTATTTCTTTGAAGAAAATCTATGAGACAAATGATTTTATATTCAGATTTTATAGAAATCTTTAAGTCACTCAAATTTATAAAAAAAAAGACTGGATTTCTTTCTTTCATTTTCTTGTTCATTTCTCATTTATTAGCAATGTAGGAATAAGTTTTTGAACAAATAATTATATCTTCTGATAATGCTTCATATTTTTTATCACTCTAACTTTGCGACAGTTGCAAAATTCATTTTTTCTTAATTATCAAGAACGATTTCTGGATAATTTCTTGAATTACTTTTCACTTTTCAACGAAAAAATTTACAGTTTTCGTGCTTGTCAAATAAGGGTAGATTAGCAATCTTCAAATTGTTTTATGCAACACAACAGAGAAATATATAGAACAATAGAAAATCTAAAGCGTCATTAGAATATATAGCGGAGTTGCGGAATCTGCCATTGAAATCAAACCTTTTTCTCACTATCAAAATCAATAATAGATTCTTTTGAAAGTCTGAAATTTTTTCCTAAAAGAGAAAAGTAAGGAATTCTATATAATAGATGGCACAGTTTTATTTTTTATCAATTTGATGGATTCAACAATTATTTTTAATGTTGATTTTTATACGAGTAAATAGAGAATTTCATTGTCTTAAAAACTGTTTAGAGTAGGCAACTAGGTGCAAATTAGCTGAAAAATCGAAAAACTACTTTTTCAAGATTGAAATAGCTAAAATAATTGAAAATTAGCCTGAAAATAGTATCGTCTAGGCAATTCACATTTTTCTACGCAATCTACTTAAGACAAAATTGAAAAGAAAAATGAAAATAAAACTATCTTCTTTTTGACTGTAGTTCTCTAAACGATTCTATAAATGACATGAGCACTTCTTTGACATTCCAATATGAAACTTACTCAGACTTTTCAAAATTTTCTCTTAGATTTCATCTATCGCTACAATCAGTCTAAATGTACCTGCATCCTACACGAGACTTTCGAACAAAAGCTCGGATTTTTCCAGCCACTCTTATTCTTCTCGACTGAGAAATCTTTTTATTGAGTAAAAAGATGATGTTCAGAATTAACTCAAGAAATTTGATCGAATTGTAGATGATACAATCATTTTATGGATAGTAATTAGCTAACAACTTTCCTTCTCCTGAAGAAAACATTCCAACTCATGTTAAGATTGTTAGGAAGTAGACCAGAAATTTATCTCTCTGAAAGATTCGATTTTCTCCAATATTTTTTTAGATCGTTGACTAGCAGTTTGACGAAGAAAAACTACAATCGTAACCAAAAGAATGTAAAAAAACTATCTTTTTATTTTTCTAAAAAAGTGTAAGACGAAAATATTCACTCAAAATTAGTAATACGATCATAATAGCGTACTACATGCATGAATTTCGAAATATTGCTTTTGAAGATGATTATTGTAATGTTTCTCTGCAAGAATGAATACTTTTTTGAAATCTGTAAAATAATCTTGATGCGAATCTGAGCATTATCAAATGATTCTGAAATTGTTCATCTTACTTAATATCCACTAGTGAGTAGAAGAATATTGCTATTCGATGAAAAGAACACCAAATTTATGCCACACTGATATTCTACAAGGAAATATACAATAAACTTAGAGTTTTTGAAGCTGTATTATACAACACAAATAAATTTATTCAGCATACCATTATGCAGAACGATGAAAAAGCTTATCATTTTTCGTCATTCATTTATCTCGCTTGTTCTACATGAAATAATTAAGTCTCGTTGATAACATGTGAGGGTGTGGGTGTTGTTGGTATTTTCTTCAAACTTACACCCATACTTCAGTTTAGAGAAGACCAATTTACATTTACGAGAATTAAATAAATCCAAAAATAAATTTAATTCTTTCAGATTTGAGGGTTTAAATTTATTTTAAGTTTAAATCTATTCTTAAGTTAAAATTTAAGAAATTTAAATATAAAGTAAAATAAAAAGCAAGAGCCACCCTAACTTCAGTGACCATTGAGTTCTGCCATGCAAAAGTCTATTTTTTCTAAAAGAAATATAATTATAATAGTATCATTCTGAATCGGACCGGGCCATCAAAAAAATGGCTCGATTTCGAGGCCTGAAAGGAACCAGAAAGATTAAAAATCTTGAATATTTTACATGAGAGAGTATGCTTGACATGCAGTATTTTAGCTGATCAATTGTTAACTTTTGTTTCAAAATGCATGATTTAGACGTTACAAGCATATTTAATTTTTTTGCAAGAAATGTTTGCATAGTTTTATTGCTTTTTTTCTTAATTTATGTATGCAAATATCATGCCTTGTTAAAGTATTTCAATGTTAACTCTCTAAAGAGACACTTTTTTTCTTGGATTCGTTATCTTATAACTAAAACTTAGAAATTTGCTCTCTTTGAACTAAAAGGACATTGTCAAGAAACATAAACCAATTTCCTATACGTAGCCTAGTATAAATATTTATATAATATTCATGGCAAGAATTAAGATTGTGGTTTGAATAACCAAAGTTGATCAAGTTGTCTAGTATGGCTTGATTGACAGTTCAATATTTCAATTTAAAACAAGAAATATGACTAAAGAGAGTTAAGTTTGATCAATAATCTTACAAATACTTTTATAAATGTATATAATGTCAAAGTAGGTGGAGAACAAGATGATTATCTTATAATTATAGATTGACGGAAAAGCATACCTCTATTTAGAAAGTGAGGATAGACTCAACATAGACTTTCCACGTGAACCAATCAAAGATCTGTTAACAAGATCTAATTGTAAATGTAATGCTTTATCTCACAAAAGAAAAATGAAAGTTTCATAAATGAAAACTATTCTCGAATATAAAAAGAAAAAGATAAGCAAAACATATATATTGTTTCCCGACAGATTAAAAGTTGTTTCACATAGTTTGAATAAAAAAATATTATTTCTCAAAATAGTGTGTCAATTTCACTCGAGCTTTAGGCCAGGTATACAGTGGTAGAAAGTCACTTTTCACTCATTGAAAACATTTTTCAAATCGAATTCAATGAATTCTAGTACTTTCAAAATGGATTATTTTTCAAGATCTTACTGACAAGTGTGAAACTGTACTGAAACTATCTTTTTCCTGATCTTGGACAACAACTAGCCTTTTTCACGAATTCAATTAGACTGTTGAATGTAGCACGAAATATATTGCCAATTGCTTGGTTTATGACAGGCTTTGATTATCCAACGTATAACCAAAAAGAATGAGGAATACATTTATTCTCAAATTAAATTAAGTGAATCATCAATGATTTTAGTTGAATAGTTACTAATTCATAGATTTTTTATATCATTGAAACAAAAATTGTGTCGCATATCAAAAATGCGATTAGTGCTCATTGTAAAAACATTTATACAAATTACATGTATAAATCGAGATATTTTCAACAAAATTTCAACGATCAGTCTATGTCTAATCTATACAATTCAAGTTTCCTATTCATCGAAACATTTTTAAACAACAAAAAGTATAATTTTAATGAATTTTAGCTTTGACACTAAAATTAAAGGTTCTCATTGATTTTTACTTCGATTCCGATGATTCTTTCACTAATATATGAATGAACGATTAGCTCTTGCTTAGAACCTAATCAAAAACTTATGATTTTTGTTGGATATGAGAATTTTCGATATCTGAATTCAAATATTGATTCTTTCTAAGATTACATTGGCATTCTTATAAAAGCCTATACATGACGAGAGTAGGTTGAATAAAAGAGATTACTTGGTTTTTCGTTAAATTGAATTTTAAGATCTTTCAATGTAACAATCGCACTTTTATTTTACAGATATATTATTTTGTTTTGATACGTATTATCTGGAAAAACTTCATGTGAACTATATGATAGCTATTGCTTTGTTTCTCATTTTGTGAAGAATACAGAATACAACAGAAAATTGATTATGTTTGTTTTCTGTGATTATTTTTTAAATGACGGCATTTATTGAATTAAATAGAATCTATTGATTTATGTAAGAGTACATCATTTTGCATTGACTGTAATGAGCAAGAAATCATGATGTTTCTTTGCCTACATTCATTGATTTCACTCAAAAAAAGAAAAGTAACTTTAAAAATATAATTTTAAATTATTGAGATATTTTAAAAGAAAGAAAATGCATTGTATTTAATTGATAACTTCGTTGAATGAGAACAATATTACCAGGAAAAACCTATTTACTATCTTAAATATAGGAATATATTCAACATCCTAATGCAAACTACTTTAACTTTAGAATCCACGAGAAAATAATTAGAAAAATAACATTTTAATGATAGTACCTATGCTAGATATATATATATATATACATATTCTTTTTATATATGTCCAACTTCAGATATAAGATACGAAATCTACAGAATTTTCTAGAAGAATTCATCTAAATTTAGATGCATTTGATTTTATTAGCTTCTCAGTTATATTTATTTGTCTGGGCTACTATATAAACCCCTCCCCATATTAGAAGCCCCCCGGGGGCTTCTAATATGACTTTTGTGTAAAATTTTCTAAAAAATTATAAGGAAATTGTTGTTTCAATTCTCTTGATTCTTTATATAGAATAAGTTCAATTAATCATAAAAATATTATTAACATAAATATAGGTACAAAAAAATGCTGGTATAAGTTATAATTTACACAAAAAACAAGAAAAGAAAGAAGAAGTTTTAAAGAAATTAATTTAGTTACATTACTTTTTCCAAAAATGAGTTAATTTTAATTGTTTATTTTTCTGATTTGATAAATTTTTGTCATGATCTTCAGCTAATTTTGCTTGAATTGGTATTTGCTGTTGTTCTTCATCATTGTCGTCGGATTCATCTATATGTAATAATGGAGAATCGACTGTAGCTGGATCGAACGTATAATTCGGAAGAGTTCTATTCAGAAAAGTGAGAAATGTCTTACTTTGGAAATGAACCATTCATTATATTTATTCATCGTTGGAATATTGATAACACCTTCGGGAGTGAAGAACACCTTGACACCCTTGGCATATTGTTTCTGTTCATCAGGCGAAACATGACCCTTCCCTTTGAATGATAAAACAGGATCAACACGTTGATCTTCACCTGACACTGTGAGAATGACCGTACAAAATCTCTGAATGAAAAAACAAAATAAAATAGAAAATAGAATAATTCTTTGTGTAGCCCTTCCTACAAGAAAAACTGATCTGTCTACCGATAGCTTCTAAAATTTAACGAAGACTTGTGATTATATTAATGGTTCTTGTAAGGAATGTGTAGATCTGATAACGCAAACTTTAACTAGGTCTGAAGCCTGTCATGTCAGCGTTTTATAGATCTACGAAAATTTATCTGTAAATTGTATACAAAAACTCACCTCGAATGAACAAGTTATATTTGTTGTGTGCTGTAGAAAAAGAAAAGTACTCACTTTGTTACTCAAACATCCTTCTACTTCATTGCAAGTGTTGATATCATTGATTGATCGTTTTGATTGATCGCCGAATAATGCCAGTGGAGATTCGTCCATGTTGAAGACGTCACGTGGAGTAAAGGCCCCCATTGCACCACGTTTTGGAGCCCATCGACTTGCTCGTCGAAGAAAAGTATAAAATGAAGTTGCTTTTTGATGAACATCGTCGAGTGGAATCTTCTGTTGCCGTTTTGGACGTTGAAAAGAGAGTCGATGACGAGCAAGAAAACGACCAAACCATTTCGATGATGGACATGGATGATTTAATTCTTCACTTAATTGTCGTCCACGACGTTCAAGTTGACGAAATGTTACTCTTTCCTTACGAATATCAGAAGCAGGTATTGTTGTCGATCCAGGATCAGTACGTTTTTGACGATACCAGGCAAATAAACGAGAATCAAGTTCCACATAAGTAAATTTTTTACCACCTCCATCGAGACGCTTGCGTTTTTTACCTGATGAAAACAAAATTAGAGATTAAGTTACTTTTTATATTTAATAAAAATAGATTATTCACCTTTCTTTTGAGATGCCAATTTTAATAATTTATCTTTATTCTGGATCCACATCCGAAGTTGTTTTGTAGCACATCCAACGTATTTGGCTGTTTGGTGTTTGCTGTTGTTTTTTTCGAAGCAGGCGATTGCATTTAACTTTTCGTTTACGGTCCATTGACGTCGCTTACGCTTTTTCATGATGGTTGATGTTGATGAAGACGTAATATCGACATTACTGTTGTTATTAGAAGATGTAGATTGATGAGATGATTGTAATAAGTTTTCATTATCACTAGATGATTCTGACGATGAATAATTGACGAGTGGTGCAGGTTGAGTTGAAGAATAATTTTCATCGCTATCATCGTTGCTGTCCGAATTAAGTTGTAGATAAGTAGTCCATTTAATTAATTCATTTTCATTTTCATCGACAACAGACGTAATTTCAACGCAGGAATCATCATTGGAACTGGATTCGTCCAAAAGTGAGTTTGTAACAACGCCTGGTAACGGTGCCAGATGCTCTTCGATTTGGTACATAATTAATGAAAAAACAATTCGAGAAAAAGATATTTAAATTGAATGACATATGAACTATACCGTCGAAATATGTTTGTATATATATGTCTATTCAGCCTATTCATTCAGCGTATATCTCTCGTTCAAAAGGTTACATTATGAAACATTAAAATACGTGTGCGATTGATTGTTATGTATTAATTTCGTCGTTCTTAAATAAGATTAAAGAATTGTTCTGTCATGTACATCGATATTTATTTCATGTCGAGTTATAACATTGAATTGGTTTGACTTTACTTTACAAATATATTATTGAATGTATGATAATGAAAAAGATAAAGGAAGAATATACAACAATTTTATAAAGCGTGATGAGCATTTACTCCAGTCCTGTGAGTGTTCAGAAGAAAATTGGTTGATTTTGAAAAAATTCTAAATCTCGGACTTAATACAAGCCCATGGGCTTCTAATACGTCTTTCATATTGCTCCTTTCAGAGGGGGCTTCTAAAACGGGGGGGGCTTTTAATATGGGAGGGGCTTCTAATATGGGGAGGGGTTTACTAAAAATCTACATTTTTTCCTT